AAATAGAGAGAGATCAAGAAGATACCTGAACTCCATGGTGCCATCTACACAGATATTATGAAATTTTCCTCTTCCTTAGCGCTTGCCAGAATTATGATTCAAGTTTCTTGTTGTAAAATGAGCGCACAGACCCTGGAACATTTTCAAATTTTTTAGATAATGGTACCAATTTTTTGATTAAATTTTTGTTTGGATTTTTAGGAATTGAAGAGAATGGTGCAAGTCTCATTTTCTGTTAAAATCCTAGATTTTTCTAAAATTGCAAAGTTCAGTTTTTTCTGTGTTTTCCTACATATAGAGTATTGAAGATGAGAATGTTTTACTTACAATGAATCAATTCTTTAAAGAGAGGTTTTGAAGTAAGGTCATGTACAATGTTTTTGTCCAAAACCAAAAATGTCTTTGATTAATTTGTGAGGTCAGCTAGCATAAAGTGTGTAGAAGAATGGGTGCAAGTCTCATTTTTTGTTTGACACCCTCACTTTTCGATAAATGCAAAATTTCAAAAATTCTTTAGGAGGTCTTCTTTCATGTACGCAGCAAAGAATCAATAAAGAAAGTGGTGCTGGTCCTATTTTCCGAAATGGGGCAAATAGGAGAAAAGAAAAATGGAAACTAAATTCGAATTCCCATGCTTTGTTCAAGGCAGTGTCTGTCTGTAATTTGAGTGCTTTGGGACAATTAGGTATTCTCAGAAATCCCTTCTCATGTTAAATTAATATTAATTAACTTAGTAAATTACCTGATAATTAACAAATATTTGTGGTTTTGGTATTTTTTGAGGGAATTTATGCAAAACGTGTGGTTTTTGTTGTTGTTTTTTTCCCCTCCATTTAAAGTTAAAACTGTCTAACGTCACTCAACTGTTTTGTGCACATTTTCTTCATTCTAAACGATAGTACCTAACCCAAAATCAGTTGAATTCTGAATGCAGTGGAAAGAGTGTTGTTGGGATTGATAAGACATTTTGGCCAAACAACATGCCAAGGAATTTCACAGGAAATACACACAGGCACTGGTTGTAATCAGGGTTCAATGTAATCAAAGGCAACTTGACTGAAATTACTCTTGCTTTCCCGTATAATGTGCTGCAAATATGGTAGCATTAAATTTATTCCTGTTTGTTTCAATTTGTAGAAGTTAAGAAATGATTCTCTGTCTTGACTCTTGACAATGATGCAATATGCACCACAGGCACTTTGGGTCGATTTGGCTTTTTAAGTAATTAGCTGAGTGTTGAGGAGAAATTGCAATATTTCAATATTATGTTGACTGTTTCCAGTAATTGAGACAGGTATGTGGTTGTTGTAGTACTACTAGTTATTAAAGCACTTTTTCTCTATTTGAGTACAAACGAAATCTAGTGTGCTTCAACTACACTTTGTTTCCCACATTATGGGAATGGTTATGTATTTTATATATTGCAATTTTTGCTTACTTAATACTTAAGCGTCACTTAAAAAAACTAAACGTGGTCTCAGTATGAATTTGCAATTAATTTCATCTAGCCAAGAGACAGCTAGTCATTCCTTACTCTAATGAAAAAAACATACATCAATCACTAACTGTTTACTGTATATCAGAGAAGCCAAGTATAATTTAACACACTTACTTGATTACATCAAAGTTAGGTTCAATTGTTGAGGGTAATACCCAAAATCACATTAATCAACCCTTTTTAAGGTAAAAGATGTCTGTAAATTAAGTTTTGAGAGAGGCCTTCCAATATATTGCTTGTGGAGTATAACAATAAGGTTACAGAATCCATTGTCTTTTAATCGTTTAAATGTTAAAACTGGAAACACAATAGAAACATTTTTATAGATTCATTCTGTGAAAGAAATACTTGATGCACAGATTCAAGAATGAAATCATTCATGCAATCTCCGTACAACCAAGATATTAAGTGAGAATTCTCCCTAAATTCAACTTCTGGGTCATGATAATATCGTTGTTGAAATGTGGCTGATGTCTTTGTAGCTTTTCTGCAATAGACAAAGAGAATTTGATTTTGGTTGAAGATTTGGCGCAAATTATGTGACATTACATTTTCTAAATCAATGTGCATAGTCTAATTAAATATTTTCATTGGAAGAATGTATTTCATTGAGTAAAGAATGTTATAAATCAATCCTGTAGTATTGCAATGTACATTTTTATGAAAGAAAATTGAACACTTTCTGACATAATTTCAAAAATGTTCTAAGCAATTCATATAAGTACTCTCAAAAAATTAAAAAGATCGAATTCAAGTGTGCAGGACAGCTACTTCAGTCAATGCATGTACACTTTTGTAGAGAATCCTATTTGTTTTAAGCACTTGTGTTGTTTATTAGACAGATGCCTTTGAAAAAGACAAAGCCTTTCTCTGTAATTTGGACTGGTTTATCCCAAACGTATATTTCCAACAAAATCTACTCTGAAGGTGGCTGAGGTCGTTGTACTGCCCTGCAGTGCCTCTGACCAGGAGGTCCTAGAAAATTAGAATTTCTTCGTGTCCGGATTTGGGCCTTACTAGACAGCTGCTGGTTGATTCAGCCGCTGACTGGCGGATTCTAGCGGCCTGCTGCTCTGGTCTGTAGTTTTTTGTTGGTTCGTCCATCAACCCAGACAAATGTCCGAGAAGTACACCAACAAACAGCCTACAGACCTGCACTGCTCTCTAATTCCTCTTTCTTAATCTATCTTCACGGGGCCCTTTCATACCCTCACATGCACTACAACTACACAACTTGTTGGGAGACCCAGTCGGCGAGCTTAAGAGCTTGTCTTGTCTTGGCTGGGGGGGGGGGGGGATGACACATTGGTGGGAGATACCTGGTTGGGGAAAATATTGCATCCGGTATAGGCTCGATGCTGGATCCCACCAGTCGACAGGGAAAATATCACCACCTTCACAACAAAACATCACTATACTTATGGGACTGTTGACCTTAGCAGTTGATGCCCTGAATTGCTAATCAATTATCAACAAATCCATCAACGATCTTTCATAGCATTGCATAAACTTTCGTGATACTTTGTATCAAATACGTAATACTACAAAGTAAAATTATAAAAAAGTCCCATTGTTTGTTTAGTACTTTAAATGAAAAGTTCTCTCATATGTCATCAATTTGAAAATGAAGGTAAAAACAAAAATCACCAATTCTTTTGCTTTTATGATTGAATGTGAATGGCGTACTTCCATGTTTAAACCAGTTACACAATATCTTTTAAATTCAAATCCAATATGATTAAAATATTGTAAATTATTGAGTGAATGGAAGCTTTTAACGAACATTCATAAC